TATAAGCCTACAATTATTTACCACGGTCTGTACGTCTTTGGCTTCCTATTAGAGGAGCTTTTCAAAATTGAAACTTATAAAGAACTATTTGAGATCCACCACGGAACAGTCCCGCCTTCTGGTGTTGAGATTCTGTCCATTGAAAGTGATAAGGCGAAGAGTGTTGATTTTGTTGAAAGTTCGCATCTTTGAAGACCAGGAACGTTTTAACTGAACATTTTAATGTTTCAATAAAAAGTCAATTTTGTTTTCATTTTAGGGCTTTTGTTGCTTTTTGGGCTTAATTTACAGACAATAATTTAAACCGCCATGTATGATCTGGTTGAGAGTTACTCGGAGCGGGTTCGGGGAGGGGGGGGGGGAGTCCGGGAGGTGAGGGTTGACAACTTGAGTTTACCACAAGGGTTGCCACCAACCATCGTAACGCCCCGGGTTCCACCGTAATTGCAATATGCGCCTATTTGATCTAGTTGACTGCTGTTGTTGTTATCAGTGGTGAATAAAAGAAAGGTTAAATGTCAATAAAATGATGTAGGCCCTATGTGGCATTGTAAAAAAACTTACAGAAAATATTTTTATATTGTTTTAGCGTAAAATTGTAATATATGACAATATGACGTGGGATTTATGTAATATGCGTGAATTTTAAATTTCAGTGGGCGGTAGTTTCTCCTTTTTTTTTTTTTTTTCAATTTTAAAATTAAAAACTCATTGTATAGGACAAGTTGAAATAAAATATATTATTCCAAATTTTCGATCAATTTTATCTTATTACTTTTCTTTCTTTTTTACTGTAATGGATCATGTTTGTTTTTTTTTTTTTTTTTTTTTTTTCAATTTTAAAATTAAAAACTCATTGTATAGGACAAGTTGAAATAAAATATATTATTCCAAATTTTCGATCAATTTTATCTTATTACTTTTCTTTCTATTTTACTGTAATGGATCATGCACATGATCTATTATTTTGTTATATTGTGTTATATGGGGTGGGGTAGATGGGAGCGTGCAATGCAACGATTCGTTTTCTTCTTCTTTTTTTAAAATTAATTCTTATTTTTGTGAAATGTGTGCTTTTATATATATATTTTGCTTACAATAATAAGCAAAGTTTTGTAAAATAATAATTATTATAATTAATTCCTGGCTTTTTGCTTGAAACTTTCTTGTTTTGTAACTTAATTGTAATTTAATTTATGATCTTTGTCTATTATTTTTTTTATTTTTTTTTGCCTGACAAACATTAGGTTAACAATAGGCATAAAAGTTTTTTAAAAAAAAAAAAAAAAAAAAAAAACACATAAAAAATTTAAAGTGGTCAATGGCCGTAATCTTAAAGGGGTCCATGCAGGGTTTTTTTCCGGTATATCTCGGGGGGGGGGGTACCACAACGTATTCTTGCGTTAAGGGATCATTTAAAAAAAAACAACCCAAAACTGCTGAATGAACACCGCCACTGGGAATCACAAACCGCTCCACGCCCAGAGACTCCCGTGGATCCTTTGATGCTATTGGGTCACCGGAGCATAGCAACGTTTTGTAACACAAGGTGTCTATCCCATCCCGGGCCCCCGACCCCACCCCTCTCTCTCTCTCTCTGTCTGTCTCTCTCTCTCTCATACACACACATATACACATTTCATGCATTTGAAAAAAAAAATCAAATGTAAATTTCAAGAAGATATCATCGGCAATCCATTCAGCTTTGATTCTGATGGCATTTGACGTGCAAGACGATAGCACCCAATCCCTTTATTGAAAATCGTAGGGAAGCACAAATTGCCCCTCGCTAATCGTTGTCACGACATGAAGAAGTTGTTGGCCGACATACGTATTTCTCCCCGTGACTGCGAACTGTAAACCTCAAAAGAAAACGAAAATAAAAAATAAAAAAAAAACAGAAAAAAAAAAAGGCGAACTAGCAAATTCAAAAATAAACATGGAAAATCCTGATTTTTTTTTTTTAAAAAGAAAAATACAAAAAAAAATTTATGAGGAGAGCCGCTCGACAGCAAGCCCGTGTCTTTTCAGCTTAAACACACCCGATAGGGGGCGCCGTGGGGGGGGGGGGGG